TCTCTAACAAGAGGGCCCTTACTATTGTTCTGTAAATCTCCCTTTTAAACTAATCCGGGATCGTTTGTTCACGGGTTTGAAGGTCGGATTTGTATTTGATCCACGGTTGCATAACGCCTAACTTCTTGAACTTGAGTTTTTTCACTTTGCATTCTAGTTGCTGTTGTTTTTTTTATGGAGAACTGATTCCATCGTCTTTTCTAGATTTTAAATAAGCCTCCACTATCAAATAAGCCCCTTGTCTCTATCAAGTCCCCCGCTTCAAATGTGGTTGAAACAAGTAAGCCTCCCCTCACCCCCTGTCTAGGTTTACTTGGCGTGCATGAATTTTCTGCTTAATTTTCCCTTGCACACCTTGTTTTTTTGCACTTTGACCACCCCCCCCCCAACCCCAACCCAAACTGAGAATTCTACAACCGCTGCATGTGCACATCGTGCATATGGCTTCCATTTCTTATTGGTCAAGTGTTTTCTCAAGTGTGGTGTAGACCATACTTGGCGGCGAACTTCAACTTCTTTGAACTAAGAACGTTTCCATGGTCACCAAGTAAAGTTAAAGTAGGTACAATTACCCCTTCACACTCAAAGTAGGTTCCAAGTACACTTAGGTTATACTTGAAGCTCTACTGTGAAGCCAACAATTGACAGCTTTTACTTCAAGTAATATACTTTGTCAACAAGTGTGAAGCCATGTTTTCTACAGAGCGACTTAAGAATTTCAAGTGCACTTGAATCAAGTTCTTACTTGAAACAAACTTAGCTTCCAGTGTGAAGCCAAGTAATATCTTCTACTCGACTGACACGAAACTTGAATTCGTTCTTCCCCGGACACACAAATGTAAGTGGTGAAGTTCCACTCACCCAGATTCTAAGACATCTTTACCTGTCCACGATACATTTCCTGACACTTCACAAAAAATAGTTTGTAAAAAATCCATTCTGTTTCCTTGAAGCTTAGTTTTGCGTCCTACAACTAGCCATCCAGAATCGGAACAGAAACCGAAATATTGGAAAGGGATTGTTTTTATATATAATTCGCTCGAAGAAATAGATTAGGTTGCAAGAACTGAACGATCGACGTTATAACTCCACCTTCTCTATTCAAAAAGCAAGGGAAGTGGGCCAGTAAAAATGAAACAAGTAGATGTTATATTTCCTTGATGCATATCAAAACATTCATACCACATATGAATGCTTTTGAATTATACCACTTTAGACTAATGGGATTCTATAGGAAATTTCATTACCTGACGAGGGAATTCCACGATAAATTGCACGCGAAAACCGATATCGAACGAATCGCGAAGCGATGAGTGCGATATCGGTTTTCAAGTGCAATTTAACGAGGAATTCAGGAGTCAGGTAATGGATTTTCCTTGAATCGCATAATTGCATAAAAATCAGAAAAAAAGAAAACAGCAATAATATTGTTTGTTTTTATCCTGAGCGCGCGCTCCAGAAAGCCATTTCAAAGTCAACTGTCAGAACTGTCATTGCGTTAGCGAATAGGAAGCAAGGTCAGTCGTACACGTTTGAACCTTCGACAACTTTTTTTGTACCTTGTGCTTGTTTTTAGATTTGTTTTCAACCTTTTTTACATGTAAACAAGCTTCACACTAATCGTAAGGATAAATAGAGGTATTTCATTGAATTTACAAGCCGTTTATCTATAACATCTTTTTTCCAATTGGTTATTTGTTCGTGAAGGAAAATAATTTACACCTTTTACCTTTTCGGCGGCAAAACTAAAAGAAATGAAGTGTCCAAGCGAAAGCACTGAAATTTTAACGTCGCGATTGATATAAGGTAAGTACCTTGTAATGTTTTAGAAATGTTGTTCAAGTTCAGCTCTGTTTTGTACTTTTCTAAGTACCACGATTCAGGACGATTGCGGCGGCGGCGCGGCGTTCTCTTATTCGTGTTTTCAGGGGCCATGTCGTCTTTGAAGGTATTTATTTCTTCTTCTGTTATATGTGACAATCGACCCTGGCACTTCCTCCGTTGTCGCCCCTTCTGGTTTTAAGTATTTTAGCCGCAAAATTTCCACGGATCGTCTTTTTTAGGAAAGTATTTTTATGCTATCAACTGTAGTAAGTTCTGTCTGTTTTGCGGGAGCTCATTTTTCCGGCTTTAATATTACCTATAGTAATACACTCATGTTAAAGAAGTTTTTTAGTCATAGCAAGAGATCATATTATGATCTGTTGGCCAGAGTTAAACCATCTTAACGCGTTTGTAAAAATTGCTGGAAAAATGTTCTAAAACGCTTTTCGGAGCGCTGTTATAACCCATATATAACGACTACTCCACCGGCACGTTTTTACGAAGTTTTCATTTCAAAAAACGGCAGTTTCGTGACCATTTAAGCAGTTAACTTAGGGCGCAAATAAGCTTTCAAAAATTTATCATAATCTATCATAAGCAGATCCAGTAAACTATAGTTGTGCTCAAAGTGAATAATGAAATTCGCCGACAACGCTACGCAGAAGTGATGCTTGAAATAAATTGGATGCTTAGTCTCACGATTGTGTTTTAAACTAATCTTATGAATGAACATAGACAAAACAGTAGTAGTCAGAAAAATTATTTATCGAAAAATTTTATTCGAAAACCCATAATTTTATCCTTAAAAGCAATTCGCGTAATACTAACTGGATCGTGGATCATTTCACGCAAGTAAAAGCTGCCGAAGACATCAAATGTCAACGCCAAAATCCGTCTCAAGTTGTATAAAACTCTATGAAACAACTATAAATACTTAAATTTCCATTTAAAAACAAAACTTCCTTGACCATTAATGTGCAAGTTGTACCTGAAAATTCTTTAAAAACTTTGCCGCTTTGGTTTCTTTTCAGAACAGGACAAGTGTTCCACCCTGAAGAAACCAACCAGGTTGAAGTCCTTGAGGGCGAATCAGTGTTCAGCTAAAAGCTTTTTTTCTGCTTTTTCCACTAAAAGAAAACTGATCGATGATTCTTTTGAACATTCCGGTTCCCATCTGTGCCTTAAAAGAGTACATTTAGCCTTGCATTGAGAGGCGACACAACAAAAATCACCGCAGTATCCATTTTCTTTTCCTGGCAAATAAATTAACGATCTTTACACGGTCCCGTAAGAAGCACCGGCAGCAGCTTGTTTTGGTATTCCGACAGCTTTAAAATACAGAGCCTATTCAAGTTGTTGAAGACGCTCTTTTAAATACATAAACAGGGATTTTTGAAATTGTTTTGAACTTTTCCTGTTGCTACGTTTGAGCTGCGTTGATCCGCGTTCGTATGCGAGAATTTGGCGCGAAGGGATGCATGAAGGCGCACGCAATGCTCTAAACCGGTCGAGAACAAGAAAAAACCGTTTTTTTAAATTTATTCGTCCAGATTTCTGGACGGATTTGAACGGTTGTCGGCAGAGGCTACTTTTCGCACACCAGCTCATACCGCGAAAATGTTGCCTCTGCTCGCAGAGTAAAACAAGGAAGAACCTCCGGTTCATTTAAAAAACGCTTTTATTTGTTTTTAACTCTTCAAAAGTTGACAATGGTTTTGAAAACATTTTAAAATGACATTGCAGAAAACCTTTTTTGCAGTTGTTGTGTTAGAATTTGACGATAGTTGTTAGGTAGATGCGAAACAATATCGCTTAGCCTCGTTTTCAACTCGCAATTCCACACTAAATACCTCGCTTCGTTAACCAATCAGAATGCGAGATTTTACTCAATTACGCCAATCCCATACGTATATAAGATACACACTTTAAAAATAGTACCGCAGCAGTAAGAGTGTATATTATAGTTTACATGAGTTGGCACCGTCAAACTAAAATATCCCAAGCTTGCGTATACAGATTATGGTTTATTTCACGCCAACTGCAACTCCCAACTTAAAGCCTGAGCTTTAAGGCCCTCGATCAATTGTTTTATGCGAAGACAAGAGCCATAATTGGCGGAGATCAGTCGTGTTGGGGCAATTCTTTACACAGAAAGAAATCACATATTCGACTGACGATAGTACGGTACCATACAGTTACCATAAAAAAATACTCAAAGTGATTAATGATAGGGTTTTCAAGTAAAAAATACACTTTAACTGCTGTTTAAAAGAGGTGTCCCTGCTCTCCTTGTTTATCATAACAAAAGACGAAGGGGTGGGTCAGCCACAACACCGATCCACATTAAGCTAACAATAGCTGCTGTTTTGGAAAATGGCTAAAAAAGTTCAGCCGCTTTTAAATGTCAGTATAACTATCATGCCAAGCTGGCAGCCCTACTTTCAACAACGCTAACGCTAACGTTCCCGACACCTAAACGGATAACAGGGTTCGTACTCTTTTGAGCTCTTTAAATTCCAGGCATTAAATGACTTTTTGCATGACCTTTTTTAGTTTTCCATGACCTTACTTTGAGAGCTCATTTTTTAAAATTTACTTGTCTTAGGATATATAATGCTATCAAGTTTTAGTTTCCAAGCCGCTCTAAGTTACTTGTCTGGAACTTACATTGTCCTAGCTTTCACGTCCGCAGTAACTAATCTACCAAACAAAACATTGATTCTTCATGATTTCCCAGGACCTAAAATTAAATTTCGCGACTTTCCAGGCCTGTAAAATGCCGGAAATTTTTAAATCTTATGACTTTTCAGGTGTTCCATGACCTGAACATCGCTATTGGTAAGTATTCAAATTGCATATTTCACTATAACTACCTAATTACTTTGTTCATTGCACTTTTTTAACTGCCCGAGTAATTGTATTCTTCATTGAAAATACCTTCCTGCTACATAATACAATTAATATACTTTCCTATAAATATACGACTTCTACGCGTGAAAACTGCATCCTTCAAGACATACTACACGTCTAACTACTACGCAATTTCACTCTTAAACACACATACCTAAAAACTGACGAAAATTAACTTCTCCATTACAAATACAGTTGTAAAGTTGTTGTTTTCCTATTTTACAAACTGTGAAGTTTCAATCAATTGCATACCGTTGATTTTACGATTAAGATGTTGCATCGAAATCCTTCAATTCATCAATTATTTCCTGCACAGTTGGTCTCGTATCAGGATCTCTCTGCAGGCATCGCCGTACCAGGTCACGAAGCGAGCCGTTTGGGACAAGCACTAATTGTTCTTCACGCCTTAGAGGATCTGGAAGTTGCCGGATGCACATCTCACAAAGAAGAACACCAAAGCTATAGACATCAACCTGACAACAATAATACATAATCTGAATTTGTTATAGGGACTAGACGCCTTAAAGTTACACCGAGTCCAATTCACTAATGAGATGGTCTGAAAGAGGTTAAATGACTACTAAGAAGCGTGGAAGAGAGGAAAATTCGAGCGCAAAATTGCGGTGGGCGCGAGAGGGAGGTGAGAGACGCAGCGGGACGGGACGAGACATCGCGTTCAAAAAAGCCGAAGGTGGCCTTGAGAAAGGGCTGGGAGGGGTAGGGGAGGGGGTGTTGGTTGGCTGATGCCAAAGTTAGGATTGCTGTACAGTAAAGTAAAAAGTCTTGAAAATTTACTTTAGCCTGACTAACCTTGACAGTTTGGTTTGAGGTAAGTGCTTCAGGTGCGCTGTAAATCATAGCTCCAGGAGCCACTGTCATGGTCTGCTGTATGAAATTAGCAGTGCCATAATCTGACACTTTGCCTCTCCATTGGTCACCTTGTCGCCATAGCAACACATTAGCACTGCTAACGTCCCGATGAATAATGGGTTCTGGTTTCTTCTGATGAAGGTAGTTCAGCGCGCGCGCTACATCCAGAGAAATGACGCGTATTTCAGTCTCGGAGAGTTGTCGCTGCTCCAACAAAGTGCGCAGACTTTTCTCCATCAGCTCGGTCACAAACAGAGGACTTCCCTCGTCATTAGTGGCGCCGATAAACTGTAGTAAGTGAGGATGGCGGCACTTGGACGCAATATTCATTTCTCTCTCAAAAAGATGTATGTTGTAAGGGGAGAGAATCAACTCGTGGATTTGTTTCACTGCTACAGTACAGCCACAATACATTCCCTCATTGACACTTCCCCATCCTCCCTTCCCAAGGAATTTCTCTGTGATTTGAATTTCGTCGCGGGGAATAACCCAGTCACGTGTTCCCTGGCTGCGTAATCCACTTATTGTCTGCTGAGCTGATGAAAGACTTAACTGTAGTTCCGAAACTTGTCTTTGTGAATTTGCTAACTGCTGTCTCATCTCACTTAATTGTCTCTCAGAATTTTCCTCACGTTGCTGCATCTCCGCTAACTGCCTTTGTGAATTCTCTTCTCGTTGCTGTATCTCACTCAACTGCCTTTGTGAGTTTTCTTCGCGTTGCAGCATCTCTCTTAACTGCCTTTGTGAGTTATCTTCACGTTGCTGCATCTCCGTCAACTGCCGTTGTGAGTTCTGTTCACGTTGCTGCATGTCTCTTAACTGCCTTTGTGAGTTTTGCTCGCGTTGTTGCGTCTCTCTCAACTGCCTTTGCAAGTTCTCTTTCTGTCCCTGTATCTCTGTCAACTGCCTTTGTAAATTTTCTCCCGGTTGTTTTATCATTTTCGACTGCTTCTGGAAGTTTTTTCCGCGCTGCTGACTCCATGGCCAAGGTGCGTTTTGAACCTGACTATCTCTTGATAGGGACTGGATTGTTTGTCTTTGCAGATTTTGTGCTTTTACTGTTATTGTTAAGGATTAAAAAAAACATAAAACATGTCAATGAAAGTCGCCACATTACAACAAGATAAATCCAAGCGTAATGGAAATAAATATGTAATGAGTACAAACTTCACTGGAATGATGCAGATAACGGAGAGTGAATGCTTGAAGCTGCGCGCGGGGTGAGGGGGGGGGGGGGGGGGGTGGGGCAGCAAATCGAAGAAACCACGTTATTTCATTCGTGAGCTTCGTTTCAAGTGATTAAAAAAACTATAACATAAATCAGGAAACTTCAATGTGTATTTTACTACACACCCAAGTTGGTGTGTATACCGTATTTATTCCATCAAACGGCGTTTATAAACTTTAACCGTTTCCAATGCGGCGTTTATTCAAGGGCTGCGTTTATTTCGAAATCACTTTTTAAATCACTGACAACAGTTATTGTAAATCTTTTGTAAATCTTATGTTATTTAAAGGTTCAAACGTCTCTCTTATTTTGCTGAGATAGAATCGAAAATGTCTGGATGTGTAAATTACCAAGTTCCACCGTGGTTTATTATCCTCGAGTAAACATCGAAATTCTTCTGATCAGGTGTGGCGTTTATTGGTAACTTTGCTTCGATCTGCGGCGTTGGTCGAGGACGGCGTTTATTTGAGAGCGCCGTTTAATCGAATAAATACCGTATGGTACCAATATTTGGCTTCGAACCTAGCCTCCAGTACAGGCGTTTTTTGGGCGGGCGAAAGCTTCTTGTTTTTCAACATGGCGCTTCCGCGAGCAAAATAAAACATTCACGCGCCCGAAGAAAACGCCTGCACTGCAGGCTACTTCCAATCGTCCTGTGGTCGCTATTTTGTCACTATCCGCTTGTTAGAGTTCATCCCCTGAAGGTGGCCATTCCCTAGTGATCGCACTTTTTATGCTGTTTTCATAATGTTAAGGTAAGGAGGGCTGTTAAGAGAACGCTTATTTAAAGGGGGCGCTCCTTTAATGGCCTGGAAGGGAGGTGCAAATCCGAAAATGTCGGACATGAAATTTTTTTTCCCTGTCATCTTTTGTTGTTCTCGTGTTGCATACTGGTTCTGTAGGCAAGCCAGAAATGAAGTTAATAGTGCCAGAAAAACGCAAAAAGGCCATTGAAGACCAAAGGGTGTCACTTCGCTGCAGCTAATGAGGAGATTTTCTTACTAATCACTGTCATTTAACAGAGGTCCTTACAATTATGTAAGTCAGTAACAACTTTGTATTATTTTAAAACGTCCAGGGATTTTCAAACTTAACCGTCTTTAGTAGTGGTATAGGCACCGAATTAACTTTTTTTTGCGCAGGGATCTCATTAACTTGCGCAGGAATATATTAACGCCGATGACGTCATAGCCTTTTGTATTTATCTCATGAGTAAAATGCGGAGGAATCTCATTATCTCTTAATGCAATAAAAACAATGGTATCACGTAGCCTAGACTGGTTTTAACCTGTTTATCATGCTCTAGTCTTATTCAACCGGCTTTGGTCATTTTTAGGAGGATGATGTCATAGTTTATTTTAAATTATGTGCGTCATATCCTTACTTGGTTATGATGACATTGTTTATTTGAATGGGTTGTATCCTTATTGGGGTATGTTTATGTTCAATCCCACAATAGAACCAAAAGACCTGCCTAGACTTGCCCGGTCTCTACTAATCCTGATTGGCTAATGTAGAATCTATTATGTTTTCAAAATAAAACCGTGCTGACTTTTCAAAGCCTTTTTCTTGCAAATCAGTCTCTTTCAAGTGCATTTGTCGCTATCATCGGTCAATTTATTACAAGATGGTTCGTAATATTGTGGTAGATTCAAGCACTACACTTCTGCTGACTGTCGATGAACTGGCACAAGTTCAACGGCAAAGGATAGCAAGTCTTATCGGCCATGTGGTCCACCCTACTTATGCCGCTATGATTGATACACTCAGTTAAGAAAAGCTGAATCGCTGTTACGGTTGTGCTATTCAGCACCCAAGTCAAAGACAACATTCGTGCCTCGTGATGCATAAAGAGGACTTTTGGTTATATTACCGAAGAGATGTAGTGGAAAATGTTTATCTGAATGCTATCCTGAACACTGTTGAAATTGTGTGCAATGCTCTTGGCGACAAGCTTAGTCAGTCGTGAAAAATGTACGTCAGCGAGCAACCAAAGATGCCTTGGACCATGGTTTCTGGGATTAAACTCATTAGAAATGGTCCCTGTTCATTATTCGTCAATTAAAGTTATTCTAAACATGAAAGAGTTGTTGGACAATGTGCATCGCTACAAAGATAATGTGCACTTTTCTTACGACACTTGCACTGGTCTTCTTCAAAGATATGGATTATCCTTTGGGGTTTCCTCCTGAATACGGCTCTCACGATCTTTTCATCTACTGTGATCTTATTCAACAAAAATATGTTGGCGATACACTTGTACCTTTGCATCGAATTGTTCTTGAAGAAGCAGAGGTCGGTCAACGAGTCAGTAAATTATTTATGCGCCCTTAATATTTACTTGTCAGTTGAAAGCAATTTGAAACAATCAAAGTCAATATAAAGACAGACACAGGGGCGTCTGTATCATTTGAGTTTGGGGCAGGGTTGTTAACACTTCATTTTCGTCCATGTGCAGCTCTGTACTTTTAAAGATGACAAAACTCCACACTCCAAATCATAGTTCTACGAACATTACTACGCAGATCAAGCCAAACAAAAAGGAGGCAATTTACCGGGTTATGGACTAGGGTCCATATTTAGAGGCCTGTTTCGCTGGGCGATGCGTCCACTTCAACAGGGTGCCAAGGTAATTGAAAAAAAAAAAGCTCTACAAAAGGATGCCAATGTTGCCTAAGATGTTCTTGATGGAGATAATATTAAAACAGAAGTCCGCCAGCGCAACGAAAGCCCCCCAGTCTACCATCTCAGAATTCATTGTACGGACAATCAGGAGCTGGCAAAACATCTACAAAATAGAAAGGGCAAGGAGCCAAAATAAGTTTGCTTCCAGGTAAGAAATCAAAAACATCTCCGCAGCATGTGAGGCCCGAAGAGAAATTTACTGTGTTGAAGTGAGGACGACCATTGTGCATCACGCGTCTCAAGAATGTGCGAATATCCAAAGGGCAATGAATTTAGTACCACCTCATCAGAAACATCACAGACAGTGGCCCGATCAAATTTTATGTTTCGGGAACCGGAGATGAGTATTTGGACTTTGCATGTAATCAGTTATTTACCAAGATCACAAAAGCGAATGGAACCGCCTTAGATGCCGATACACAAGTAGTTCCCGTGAACCTCTTTTCGCCAATGGACGTTTCCTTGAACGAGTGATTGATCTCTACATCCATCAATACCTTAACTTGTCGCGCCATGATCAAAACCTCGCTAAACTACGGAGAAGCCAAAACAAGTCAACTTTCTATGGCCATGTTTTACATGGTTAAACCTGGAAAAATGAATGTTCCAACCCTGGGGCTGAAGACGATGCTGCAAACATGGGGTTAAAGGTTCGCTATCATTTCACCAAAGAAAGTCATATTGTGGATATGATGGGGCCCATTCACAGCGACATATTCTTTCAAGACCAGGTGTTACTAATTAGTGTGATTTTCAGCATCAAACTTAACCAAGGTAAGAATTCGTTTTGTCTTATTTCATCAGCAGCCCCTCCTAGTTTCAAGGTGGTAATCAAAGAAGCCATCTTGTTCATACGCAGGGTGAAATTGGCCTCCTCTATTATACTAGACCATGCAGCTGCACCAAAATACTCCAGCGTCAAGTACCAAATTCACCGAATCGATTGCAAAGTGTGGTCTGTTCCATGGGGATTCAGTAGTTTTACCCTGACTACATTGGGTCTCATCCCCAAATGAAATATGCTGGTATTAGTGGATACCGCGGCATATAATGGCACTTACAAAACTAACCTGTTGAACTTCCAACACTACAATCTAACTCAACGGGGTGTCTATATTGACGGAGAACAAATTGCTTGGATTAACCCCTGTTCCTGAATACTGACTGTTCTAAGGCACTAGAAAGCTGATTAGTAGAAGTGACTATGGCTTTGGTTACACAGCATCCTGCTTTGACTTGTCCCCAGACTACTGCTCAAGGGACCATTTTGAGCTAATAAAACATGGAAAGTGCGCGCTGAGCTTCTTGGCCAACACGGTTAACCTTATCGTGTACACTGAGTTCGAAAGTATGATTAAAATTGATGAAGCGAACCGCAACGTGTTCTTAGACTATACACCAATTAGAATGAACACTATTCAACTGACCTTATTTTCAGAAAGGACAAATTTACCCGAGGTGTATTTGAAGGAGTGTATCACTCAGGTAAACTTGCTGCAAGTATTCCGACGTTATCAGCCCGGTACATCGCCAATGTTGACAGAAGTGACAAGCCAGGCTCGAGTTGGGTGGCATTTTATCTCACCAAGAGCAAGAGGGAGAATTTTTTCATTGTTATGGATCACCTCCGAGCAATTATTAAAACCAACAATTCAGGCCGGTGGATATTCAAAACTGTCACATTGCAAGGCGTAAATTCAAAAGTGTATGGGCATTAATGCTTGTATTATGCTTTATTTCGTAGTCGCCAAATAAGTATGAGTACCGTTGTTCATCGCTTTTCGAACAGTAAACGACAAAATGATATTGTTGTAAAACGATTTATTGAAAAAATATTTCCTTTAAGATTTTCCAAGTATCGTTCCACTGAAAAACAGACACCATGTAACTTCATTTTAACACATTTTGTTGAATGATCAAAATAGAGCTGTGTTACGATAAAAACAGTATTATATGAACGTCTTTATAATTATAACCAGCGAACAGCTTCTGGACGCGGACTCTGAACTGTTCGCCTCTGCTTTTT